AGACTGTGTCAGAATAATGGAGTGGTTAATACAGGACTCAATTAATAAAGAACTAAAGGACGATAATATAATGAATGCCAATCAACGTGGGTTTATGGAAAATGGAGCCTATCAAACTAACTTGATGTCTTTTTTTTTGGGCGGGATTATGAGTTTGGCTGATAAAGGTAATAGTGTTGATGTAATACACTTAGCCTTCTGCAAGGCAGAGGACTTGATACCACACAACATTTTGATTAAAAAACTAGAACGATACAAAATGAAAACGGCCCACATTAAATGGATTAAAAACTGGCTAAGAGAGAGGTCTACAAATGTGACTGTCATTGGCACTGGTGTGACTGCTGCTGGAATCCTGTTTCCAGTTCTGTTGCCCACAATTCAAGTTGTTGATAAATTGGAGAGGGATCAGAGAGGAACCATGAGAAAGATTAAAGGATTAGAAAACCTGCCTTATAGCCCCCAAGAGCTCAGTCTAAACAAAGAGACGGTGAAGGGGTGACTTGATTATGGTCTGTAAATATCTACCCGGGGAACAAAGACTTAATTATTGGCTCGTCAAGTTAGCAGAAAAAGGTACAACAGGAGCCGATGGCTGGAAGTTGAAGCTAGACAAATTCAGACTGGAAATAAACCGTAATTTTTTAACGGTGAGAGTAATTAACCCAGGGCCGCCCAGAGGATTCAGGGGGCCTGGGGCAAAGCAATTTCGGGGGCCTCTTCCATAAAAAAAAAAGTAACATGTATTTGGAAATATAAAAAATAACCAGTGAAATACATTCAAAAATTAATTTTTAATAATTTGAAAATACACAACGTACATTATTTAAAAACATTAAATGCTTTAATGGTATGTTTACATTTGCAATTACATAATGGGCTGTCGCTGGGTGATGGTGATGGTTGGTGCCAATGGGGTGTCGCTGCCTGGGGGTGGCATGACTGTTGCCCAGGGCTGGGTGGGAGCTGGGCTCTGGGTCGGGGGGGTGCCCGGCTCAGAGGGGCTGGGTTCGGAGCTGGGGGTCAGGGATGGGGGGATGCCCGGCTCAGAAGGGCTTACCTTACCCAGAGCATCAGTGAGCCGCGTCCAGGAGCTCCTGCCGCTCGGCCCGCCGGAGCTCGCAGCCCCGCCCCCTTACCACGCGGCTCCGGGCGGGAGGAGCTCAGACCCTGCCCGAGCCACGCCGCTGCAGCGCTGTCCAGGGCCGCTCCTGGACGCGGCACGCTGAGGCGCCAGGGGATGGGGGAAGGTGAAGGCGGAGGTGGGGGGGAGCCTCCGACATTCTCGTGGGGGCCCCTGTGGGGCCCGGGGCCTGGGGCAAATTGCCCCACTTGCCCCCCCCCCGGGCAGCCCTGAATTAACCATTGGAACAACTGACCAAGGGCCGTGGCAGATTCTCCATCCCTGACAATTGTTGAATCGCTATTGGATGTTTTTATAAAAGATATTCTCTAGGAATTATTTTGGGGCAGTTCTCTGGCCTGTATGATACAGGGGGTCGGACTGGAGGATCACAAAAGTCTCTTCTGCCCTTGCAATCTATTCATCTATAACAAGCTCCAATGGCTGGAAGTTGAAGGTAGGCAAATTCTGACTGGAATTAAGGCACAAATATGTAACCGTGAGTGTAATTGACCATTGGTACAATTTACCCTGGGACAGGGCCGGCTTTAGGCTGATTCCCCCGAATCGGGCCCCACGCCTAAGAGGGCCCCGCGCCCTAAAGAAGAGCGCCTAACTTAGGCGCCTTTTTAATTTTTACTCACCTGGCGGCACTCTGGGTCTTCGGCGGCACTTCGGCGGCGGGTCCTTCAGTGCCGCGGAAGACCCAGAGCGAAGACCTGGAGCGCCGCCGGGTAAGTCATCTATTCGAATCGGGCCCCGCACTTCCTAAAGCCGGCCCTGCCCTGGGACATGGGGGACTCCATCACTGGGAATTTTAAAACTGGATGTTTATCTCAAAGATACACACTAATTCAAACAGGAATTAATTCAGGGAAGTCCTACGGTCTGCGTTACACAGGGTGCCAGACTGGATGATTATAATGGTCTCTTCTGGCCTTCTGCTCTGTGAATCAGGGAATAATGCATACGCACAAGAGGGGGGCAAATTAAGGTTGCACAGGTAACCTACATTCTGGCATTTCCTAGCTTCTGAGTGCTTGCCTTTGCAACCTTATTCTTTGAACATTTTAAACATAATTTCCTAACATAAAAAGCAAGCAAACAAACAAACAAACCTGAAGAAGAAGAAGAAAAAGAAAAGAAATTCCATCATGTGGAAACATACGGACCCCAACTGGACACATCAGCAGGGTTCAGACCTTTAGATCCACAGCACAGACTGTGATGACTTATGCTCACAGAGTAACTGGTAGCAGTAGTAGGCTGTTATCCTCTGTCTACTAGAGGCGGGATGAGACACGCTTTGCCGGTGGGTTTTATAGCTATTTTCAGATAGCAAAGGAGACTCAGGACTCCTGGTTCCATTCCAGAGTCTGTAGGGGAGTTTTCACTAGACCCTTCTGACCCAGGGCCCCAGCCTCTCCCTTTCCCCTCTGCTCCTATCCAACCCTCCAGCTCCTGCAACCCCCTCCCTCATTCCCATCTGTTTTTCATCCCGCTGTATTCCATTGCGGCTGCTTCCTCCTTCTCCATCTCCTCTCTGCCAGCTGGGGGAGCACTGAGAGCATAGGACAGACAACCTCCCTGCTCTCAGTTCGGGGGCCTGGCACTGCGGTGGTGTCCCCAGCAGAGAGAAGCAATGGCTGGGAAAGTTCTGCTCGGGCCCTGCAGTGCAGCCCCTGGCTGGAGCATGCTCAGTTGCTCTGTGGGGATGGTGCGTGCATGGTCTGGTCATACAGTAGAACCTCAGAGTTACGAACACCTTGGGAATGGAGGTTGTTCGTAACTCTGAAATGTTTGTAACTGAACAAAACGTTCTGGTGGTTGGTTCATACGTTTACAGCTGAACATTGACTTAATGTAGCTTTGAAACTTTACTATGCAGAAGAAAAGTCCTGTTTTTGCTTTGGTTTTTTTTAGTAGTTTATGTTTAATACAGGACAGTAATTCCCCACTTAACGTCCTCTCGCTTAACGTTGTTTCTATCTTACATCCCTGCTCAATTACAGAACATGCTCCATTTAAAGTTGTGCAATGCTTTGCTATAACATCGTTTTGCTGTCTGCTTTGTCCACAGCTGGCAGCCCCCCTATCAGCTCCCCTACGCCCTCTCGCACAGCGCATCCCGCCCGCCGGCAGATCCCGCGGATCAGCACCTTCCCCCTCCTCCCCCCACGGCAATCAGCTGGCTCGCGGCATTCAGGAGGAAGGGGGGAGGAGCGAGGACTCGGCGCGCAGGCTCCCTCTCCCTCCCCTGCCTCCCAAACGCTGCAAACCAGCTGATTGCCGTGGGCAGGAGGCAGCGGAGGTAAGGGGGGAGAAGCGAGGACGCGGCGTGCGGAGTAAAGGGGGGGGAGAAGAGGCAGGTTAAGGGTGGGGCTTGGGGGAAGGGGCGGCCTTGCAGCCAAGAGTTGAGCCCCCCGCCCCTGGTGCTTGTAGAGTAGGGGAAGCTGCCGCTGCTGCTGCGCAACGTGCTTCTCCTAGCCCACAGCACCTTCAGCCTCCTTACCTGCCTCATTATCTCCAGTGCCAGTGGGCTGTGCCTGTGTGGGGTAAGGCGGGGGCACCTCCCAACTATAGTACTGTCCTGTATGGCAAAAAAAAAAAAATTCCGTGGAACCTAACCCCCCCATTTACATTCATTCTTATGGGGAAATTGGATTTGTTTAACATCGTTTCGCTTAAAGTCGCATTTTTCAGGAACAGAACTACAACGTTAAGTGAGGAGTTACTGTACTGAATTGCTTTTTTTTGGTCTCTGCTGCTGCCTGATTGTGTACCTCCCGTTTCAAATGTGGTGTGTGGTTGTCTGGTGTTTGTATCTCTGAGGTTCTACTGTACTTAGGAGCTGAGGGGATAGAGCATGCTCAGTGCAGATAGTCTCTTCAGAGAATTTAGTTGCCAAACTCTAACAAGTCTCTACTGAGCATGTACACACACATTTGTTCAGAGATGTATAACTTGGTCAAATTTGGGCGGTTTTGCCTGGAAACAGAAAAGGCACATCTCTGACGCCAGGGTGATGCCCCTGCCAAATGTTGTGACCCCCCTGCTCCAAAGGATGGGGGTGCTGGAGCTTCCAAAGAAAACAAGTTGTAAGAAAAATTTTTAGCAAATGCAAAACAACATATTTTTTCTTAACTTTGCTCTTGGAAATAGCTGAATCATTTTAGCTGAAAATTTAAAATATATAAATATATTCAGCCTGAGGCAGGCACCTGCCATGGAAAATTTCAACCCAAACAGTTAAAGTTTGGCAAGTTATAATCAGCTGAAAACAGGGACCTATAATGATAACTGTCAGGTAAACTTAACTATACACATCACTTCAGCTCCACCTATAATATATAGTATAGATTTTTAAAGGCAAAATAACATTTAGGCACATCGTTCCTACAGAACGTCAATGAGTCTCGAGCCATCAGTCTATCTGGTCTCCATTGCCACTGCAAATATTTGAGCACCTATCAGGACGCTCTGAATAATCTCTTGCCTACGTGGGCCGGGCCATGTTCAAGCCAATCTGTATTAACGTTTCAAGTGAGATTTCAGCCTGTACCAAACATTTTGGGAGAATGGGGTGTGTCTTTCTAGCCCCCGGCTGCGTTTCCCTCGAGTGCCTTTAAACTGTAACTGATAAAGTGCAGTGGGGCCGGAGACAGAGAGAGGGTCACCGTCCTGGACTCAGGGTGGAGACTCCGAGGCAGCTGGACTCGGGTTCCTCTGTGGGGAAAGGGGTTAATTGAGTCAGGGAGTGTTGACTGATGGCTCTATCCCTCTCTCTTCATATGGGGTCTCTGTCTCAAGGGATAGCAAATGGCAGGTGCCCAGAGTGCTGGGGCGGGGACTTACCTACTTCTCTTCTGTGTTGAAGGTAAATGTTGAAGACACTGTCGAAATGTTACCCAAGTCCCGGCGAGCGCTCACAATCCAGGAGATCGCTGCCCTCGCCCGGTCCTCCCTGCACGGTAATATCAGGGGGCCTCGTGTGCGTGTCTTGGAGGGGTCTGCCATTGGGGGGTATCCTACTAGGAGAGGGGAGTTTCATGGGATTTGGAGTGGGGGTGGGGATGTCTCATTGGGGTTTGTGTCACCTGTGGGACGAGCTTATGGGGACAGAGAGTGTCTCATGGGGGGTTCCCCAGGGATATCTCATTGGGGGGTGGGGGTGTCCCATTGGGGGTGACATGGGTGGGTGCTGGGTTTCCATAGCCCCCCCCCCCGGAGCCCTGCCCGCTGCAGTCCCTGATGCTGCCCGGTGTGTTCAGGTATCTCGCAGGTGGTGAAGGACCATGTCACCAAGCCCACGGCCATGGCGCAGGGCAGGGTGGCACATCTCATCGAGTGGAAAGGCTGGTGCAAGCCCACGGACTCCCCGGTGGCTCTGGAGAGCGCCTTCAACTCCTACTCGGACCTGAGCGAAGGGGAGCAGGAGGCCAGATTCGCAGCAGGTGGGAGCGGTGCGAGGGGCCCGGGCGCATGGACCCCAAGAGGCTCCCTTGAGAGGGCGATGGAGGGGAGGCTCCCCCCCCCAGTTAGAGGAATGGCAGGAGGGTTATTGCCAGGCCCACCACAGAAATGGGGCCCTGCCCCACAGAGCTCCCCAGGGGGACCCAGCAGAGAAATGGGGGGAAGGAGAAACGAGGACTAAGCCCCTACTCTCGGTTTGGGCAGAGGGGGGGGGTTAAGACACCCCCCCCCGTTGGGGCGTTGTGAAGCACCCCGGTGTGGTCCCCTACCCCTGCAGAACCTGGAGGTGGTGGGGCTGAGCTCTGAACAGCGCCCCCTAGTCTCCGGCTGAGCACGGCTCGCTCCCCTGCTTTGGTAGAGAGGGACACGCCCTTCCCACCGGCTCCGCCCCCACGGCCGTTCGGTGCCACTCCCTTGCTGGTAGCGATCCCCATTTGCCCATCCCTGTGGCTCAGACCTGGGTCCTGGTCGGCCAGGGAACGGGAGACAGCAGGGCGGCGCTGTCGTGTAGGGCACCCCCTCTGCCCGCTGTGGGGGTTCGCCCTGACGCCTCAGTGTGGCCTCCACACGCGCTGTTGGGATGGACACAGCAGCCAGGCCACAGCAAGGCAACATGGAGAGCGTGCCCATGGCCCACCAGGGTCTGCAGACGGCACAGACAGTAGCCAAGGCTCTGCGCTCACCCCAAGCGCCCGTGTGGGCTTTGCTCGCCAGCTCTTTGCCCAGCACTGTTGGCAAGTGGGTCTGTTTTGCCACAGCCCGGAGGGGATCCGGCCTGCCAGGGAGGGAGGCGAGGAAGGGCCTGTGTCCTGGTTATTGCTCTCTGCTCCCCTGGGCGGGCTCTTCTGAGCTGGCAGGGCCCGGCAGGCTCTGTCCTTGGAGATCCCTGCAGCACCAGGCTGGGAGCTGAGTCACTGAGCGAGTGGGAAGGAGGGAGCCGGAGCCAGAGAGGGAATCATTGACCCGCCTCGCCCCAGGCAGGCAGGGGCTGAGCTCTGAGTGCCACCCGTCTCAGCTGACCGCCCAGCGTCCCAGCCCCGCAGCACCACCCTGACCGCTGCCCCAGGACAGGCAAGTGCCTGCTTAGCGGAGCCCTGTCACGTGAGTGTCACCGAGGCAGCCAGCCAGCCCCGCGGGCTGCAGAATTCACTGGCAGAAAGAGGGGGCGGGGGCACAAGGACATGCATGTTGCCAGATCTGATCAGCTCATTGTCTGGCACAGAATCTAACCGCCTGCCCCTGGCAGCGGGAGAAGCCAGTACCCTATCGCTTTGCAGGGAGGGGAACCCCCTCAGCTGGCTGGCAGCACATGGGTGTGCAGTGTGGTGCATCGGGGTGTGCAATTGTGTGCATGGGGGGGTGCAACCTTTGCATTTATTAAGGGCCCCATCCAGGAGCTCTGCTAATCCCTGGGCTCTCAACCTGGGGGTCACAAGCCAGTGTAAGGGAGACACAGTTACCCTGCCCTTCCCACATTGCTGCTACATGGGAGACTGGCTGCCAATGCATGAGTTATACAGACCTCAGATAGCCTGCGCTCCTAGCCAAATCCAGCCTCAGTCCACTCGGTAACAAGCCAGGACCTCCATTCCACTGCAGACCCTGATGGTGGGGGAGAGGGAAGCGTTCCTTCCCAACCCCCACCATCGCCTTCCCTGCCCTGGCAGTCTGGCATTTGCTCGTCCGTCCAATGATCCTCTCTAGAGAAATGTTCCTGGTGGCTATCAAATGATCTGGTCTCTTTAAAAGTCCAGGCACAGAGTCCGTCTGCACGGCCAGAGCATGCTGCTGCCTGGTGCCGAGACACAGACTAGACGGGGCCGGAGCCGCGTTCCAGCCCTTGCCTTTGCTGTAAATCACCCTCTGCTTCGTCCCCACCCACAGCCCCAGCCTCGTGTCATCACCACCCTTCCCCCTCCCAATGTGGTCTTTCCCTCGTCTCTCCCTAGCGCCTCTCCCTGTGGGGGTCTCTCTGGTCTTCAGTGCAGTCGCTGGGGCTGTGGGGAAGGCAGACAGGCAGGTGGGGCTGAGGAAGCTGCTGGCTGTGGGAAGGAGGCCGCAGGAGCGGCACCCCCTCGGGATGGAGGCCAGGGTGAATACTCCACATGGGACAGGTGAAGGGTAGATTTTAACGAGCCCCTCGCTGCCGTGCAGGCTGCATTGCAAAGAACAGCAGGCAGGGAGGCAGGTGGGGCTGGACTTGGGGGGGAGGGGACCCTAAGTTGTGGAGAAAGACAAGATCTGAAGGAAGTGCCGTAAGTAGCCAGTGTGGGCCCCAAATCTTCCCCAGAGCCCTGGTGGCAGGGCCAGGGCGGGAGGCTGAGCCAGCCCCCTCGCTGGGTCGAAGGCACATTCCTACAGTGGGCCCCGCTGGCTCCGGGGGTCACACATGGCCGGCGAGGGGCACAGGGCTGCTGGAGGGAGCAGGGAGTCACCTTGGGGGCTGTGTGGGGGCTGCTTAGGTATGTTCATAGCTGCTGGGCAGTATCAGGAACTGGCTCCTGTTTGCGGATTCACCCTGCGTCTATGGGTCTGACCTGGCAGCCCAGCCCCTGAGCCTGGGTCTGACTCAGCACCCAAGCCCCTGCTCCCCCAGCCGTCCCCACCCCCGCCAGCCCCGCCGCGGAGCCTAGGTATTTCTCCTGGCAGTGGACAGGGCTTTGCATGAGGCCGACCAGGCCTTCAGCTGCATTCCCTGGGTGGTGGCAAAGCCTTGAGCCTGGCAGAAGCAGCAGAGTTAAGGCTGGTTCCCGGGAGAGCTGGAGCATCCAGCAGGGAGCTGCCCCCTCCCTGGCATCTGGGGGAAGGTGACGCACGGCGGCAGCTGCAGCCCGGAATTAACCAAACAAGCTGCTCTTAACAACAGGGTTTGTTGTTCGCTGACAAGCAAAATTAAAAAAGAGCGGGCCCGATCCTGCGTGGTGCTGAGCCCCCATTGACGCCGATGGGCCCGATCCTGCGCTGAGCCCCGCCGCAGCCCCCATTGACTCCAATGGGCCCGATCCTGCACAGTGGTGAGCCCCCCCTCAGCCCCACTGACTGAGATGGGCCTGATCCCCCACTGACTCCAATAGGCCCAGTCCTGCCTGGTGCTGAGTCCCCACCACTGAGGGCCACAATCCTGCCTGGTGCTGAGTCCTCTCTGCCCCACTGATTCCACCAGGCCGGGCACCCTGTGAAGTGCTGTGTCCGTTCAGCTCCCACTGGTTCCCCTGGGCCCAGCTGCCCCCACGTGGGCTGCAGTGTCAGGCCCCCAGTGAGAACAGAGGGGTGCTCTGTCTTGCTCCCGGACCACCTGTGGTCTTCGTTCAGCTCTCCCATCGGGGGACACATGGTGGGCTCCCTAGCCTGCCTTGGTAGGAGGCTTCTCCCAGCAGCGGGGAGCACCGGTGCTCTGCCGGGCCCGGGCATGCCGGAAGCCATCTCTTAGCACAGGGCTGGGCCCAGGGGACCGAGTGACACACGAGGATCCGGAGTTGCGGCCGGTGGGACCAGCGCCTGCACAGGTTTCAGTGGACAGCGCAGGGCGTGCCAGTGATGTGGGGTCCCCCCGCTCTGGGCCGTGCTGGTGACGGGGGTCCCTACACACCCGCTCTGGGATTGATGAGCCAGTGATCAGGAGTCCAGCCCGGGCTGTGGCTAGGTGGCCATGGCATGTGGTGCTCAGCCTTGGTTCTCCCGGTGCAGCAGTACCCACCCCGAGGGGTCCCTGCCCCGCATGCTGGGATGGGACACCCAGTGTTACCCTGCACCTGCGAGGGGCCGGCGGCTCCCCCTCCTGAGAGCTCACTGGTCTCCCTCCCTGCCTCCCCAGGTGTGGCCGAGCAGTTTGCCATTGCCGAAGCCAAGCTGAAGGCCTGGTCCTCCGTGGACGGGGAAGACTCCAACGATGAATCCTACGACGAGGACTTTGGGACAAACACCAACAGCGCCCAGCCAGCTGGTGAGCGAGCAGGAGGCATTGTCCACATCCGTGGGGACCCAGGGGCCCTCACCCACAGACTCTGCGGAGCAGGAGGCTCCACGCATGTCAGGCAATGGGGCAGGGGCTCCCCATCTGTGTCACGTGCCGGAGCAGGGGAGAGAAGCTGGGGGGCTGTGGGGTCCCTGGGTACCGAGCTGGACTGAGTAGATCTGTGTGGGTTAGTGCCAGACACCATGGGGCCGACCCCTGGCCAGTAGGTAACTAAATAGAGATATCCCCTCTACAGAGATGGGGAAACTGAGGCAGGGAGCCCAAGGCCTAGAGTCAGTGGCAGAGTCAGGGACAGATCTCCACAACTCAGCCCCCGTTTCATACACACAGGATGACCCTGCTGTTTCCTAGGCCAGGGGCTCCCCAGGGTCTGCTGGGTGTGTGGTGCCCAGAGCTGACCGCATCATTCCCAGGGAGGGCGCACCGTACCGCTGGCGGCTCCAGCCCCTCTGTTCGGCACGCGCGGCGCTGTGCAGGCGAGCAGGGGGGATGGCACCGAGCTGCGGCGGAGCGAGCGTGGCGTGGGTCATTCCCACTCGACTCGGTCTTGCGGAGGGTGGGTGTTTGTGAGCGGGAGCTGAAGGAAGCGGGGAGAGCTGGGCTGGGTGGGCACTGGCCCATGGGGAGCAGGGAGAAAAGCATGCAGGCAGTGGGCATGGAGCCCAGCCCCAGGGCTGGGGGCCGAAGGAGCCCCATCTAGCCGCACACCGGGCTTGCCTCATGGACGGCTGCCTCACTGCTCCCCCCTTTTCCAGGTCATTCATTCGAGCCTGGGGCAGATCCACGGGCCCCTGCCCCCCGCCCCCCGCAAACCTTGGGCCAGGCTGCAAGTCGGCCATTGACTCCTCTCTGCCTTCTGCCCCACCGCCCGCGTCTACCAGGCACAGCACCTCACCTCTCCCCTTCTTGTGAGCCTAGGGGACCTGCACAAGTCTCAGTGGGCAGCGCAGGGCGTGCCAGTGCTCCCCCCTTTCCGAGGCTCTGTGGGGGGCCAGCCTGAGAGGGACCCCAGGGCGCGTCCCCTACATCAGCCCCTGCCGCCGTGGCAAACAAAAAGGAAGGAGAGGCCGATGCACGTGTCCTCTCCAG